TCCTCATTTCTGTAGCTTTATAGTAAGGTAGGTGTGTGTGTGTGTGTGTGTGTGTGTTAGAGAGAGAGAGAGAGAGAGAGAGAGAGAGAGAGAGAGAGAGAGAGAGGGAGGGACAGGGTCTATGTAGCTCAGACTGGCCTCAAACTCATGGTGATCCTCCTGCCTCAGCCTTCGAAGAGCTGAGATTATAGATGGTGTAAGTTTTAAATTGAGTTACTTGCACAGACCTGTAACCTCAGCTGAGGCAGGAAGATTTCCATGAGTTTGAGGCTAGCCTGAACTACACAGTGAGACTCTGTCTTAAAAATACATGAGCATAGCAATTGCCTTCTTTTCATTGTTTTTGTTATCCTGGATTTCATGAACCTTTAATATCAGCTTGCCAACCTGAAAAAAAAAAAAAAGCCAGTTGAGCATTTGGGGATTGTTGCATTGGCTTTGAACGTCTACCTGAAGCGTGTGAGGTAGGTACAGCTATCTTTTTATGGTTTGGGAAGCAAGATCATCTTAACAATATTGCCTTCTAATCTATGCATCTGGGATTATTTCCAATTTAGGTCTGCTCTATTTTTTTTCAGTGTGTTCTAGTTTTCAGAGTATAAATTTTGTATTTCTGTTAAATTTCTTTCTAGGGTCAGGCATGGCAGCGCACACCTGTAATCCCAGCACTCAGGAGGCTGAGGCAGGAGGATTCCCTTAAATTCCAGGCCAGCCTGGGCTACAGTGAGTTCAAGGCCAGCTTGAACTACATAGGAAGACCCTGTGTCAATAAAACAAAATAAAATTTATAAAAAAGTTTTTCCTAGTATTTTTATTTTTTTGCTGCCATAAAGGGATTTGTCGGGGGGTACTGGGATTGAACCCTCGGGTTTCACCCAGCCCCTATTTTACTTACTTATCCCATTTTATTTTTTATGTTAGGTCAGAGTCCAGGATGCTCTTGAACTCAGGACTCTCCTACCTCAGCCCCCGAGTGCTGGGATTACAGGCCTGCACCACCAGGCCTGCTGAGACTGTTTCCTTAACTTTACTTTTGGAATGTTCACTGCAGGGCTACAGAAATGCACTTGCTTTCCATACACCGACCTCGTGTCCTCCGGCTTGAAGTCACCCCCCACTGGCACACAATGAAGGGGCATTGCAGGGTGAGGCATGGGGCAGCCTGGGGGTGGCAGCAGGGGACAGAGCAAAGCAGGCTGACTAGAGCCGCAGAGCTGGGTGAGGAAATGGCAGCAGCAAGGGCTGGGGATTCAGCTCAGTGGTGCCACTGCCTGCCTGGCAAGCACAAGGACCAAGTTCAAGCCCCAGTACAAAAAGAAAGGAAGAAAAGAAAATGGAAGCAGCAGGCTGCTGGGCCCGGCTTCTGGCCGGGTTCTTCTTGCGGGACCGAAGGGGTGTGGCGACTCCATGTTGGCAGCGCGGTTTGGATGCGCCTTTTGACAGCCCAGGAGCCGCTCCATCTTTGAGGCAGGGTCTGAATCGTCCAGGCTGACCTTGAACTCGGGATCGTCTTGCCTCAGCCTCCCTCCTGGGACTACGGCCATCTTTTCTTTTCTTTTTTATGAAACATTTTTTTCTTTTCATTGAGTTTATTGGCACAATCTAGGTATACAATACAGTTCCATTTGTTATTGGGATCCTGTACCAGCCACGTTGTCTTAATGGAAAGACTTGGAGATTCGCTATTGCAGACGCAGGGGTGGGTGTACAGGAAGAGTGAGGATGCAGTCGGGGGAGAGGGCAGCAAGGTCCCTGATGAGGTGGAGGGGAGGAGGAAGGGCTGCAGGCAATGGTCCTGCAGCCGCTCAGCTGTCCCGGCACTGCCCCAGGGGTCCTCCCGGCCTGCAGCAGAAGCCAGACGTGCTGCTGTCTGCCAGGGCCCTGCACCTGTCAGCACCAAGAGGACGAGGATGATTTCCAACCAACTGGTGCCCTGTGAGACAGACGTGCTTGTGCCCGAGCTCGGCTCCAGGACCGGTCTCACCTGCTCAGGGCACAGAGGTCAGCAGTGTCCCTGCACATCGGGATGTGGCGCAGGTGCTGCTCCCGAGTGGGTCCCCGGACGCTTCAGCCAGGCCCCCAAATGCTGAGTGCCTGTCTCTGCACGGGAGATGGCCAGGGCTGGGGACAGATTGCCGGAGGAGCCTGGCAAGCGCCCAGCACAGCGACATCACAGACAGCGCCTTCCCTCCCCGCTGACTGCTACCCGGCCCACTGTGCCCTGGTGGACTTGAGGCTGTGTCCCCGAAAGGCAGCGTGACAATGAGGGGCCAAGCAGGACCGGGAGGGCTGAGAGGCACCGGGTGCTGCCTGCCTCATGCGCACGTGGAATCCACACCGCCGGCTTCCTGCTGCTCAGGACCCCGGCAGTTTACTCCTCGGCCTTCAAACGCTCTCGGCCGCAGCGTGCCCATAATCCCAGCTATTCGGGAGGCTGAGGCAGGAGAAGTGCAATTTTCAGTCTGCCTGGGCAATTTTAGAGAAACCTGGGTTCAATCCCCAATACTAGAGAAAAAAGTTAAGAAAAAAATTGCCTATCAGACCATCTTTCCTGATAATTACGATTTTCTTCTCCACTTGAAAGTGCTGCTGGACCAGTGCACAAGCGCACACATGCGCACACACACACCCGCCCGAGCAGACTTCCGGGTGCCGCTCAGGTGCTGCCCGGCCTCCCTCCTGGCCCCCAGGAGACCCCAGAGCCCAGCCAGCAGCTGCTGAGCACTCGCTCCGCTCAGGCTGGGCCCCAGCTGGTGCCACACACGGGTGACGTCCCCTGGAGTGGTCCTCACTGGCTGGGGCAGGACTGATGGTCAACAGCCACCCGGTGGGGAGCCCAGCAGCCACGAGGGCAGCGGGGCCGCTGGGGGCGCAGGGGGGCTGGGCCTGCGCGGGGGGGGCGC